ACCGGGACCAGAACCAGCACCGGTACCAGCAGCGGCGCCGGGCGTCCCGGGCGCTCCAGTAGAGCCGCCAGCACCTGGGAAAGGAACCGGGACCGCTACCAGAACCGGGACCAGAACCTGGACCAGAACCGGGACCGGAACCGGGACCGGAACCGGGACCAGAACCGGCACCAGGACCCACTGGGACTGGGACGCACCAGAACCGGGACCAGAACCGGGACCCACACCGGGACCAGAACCAGCACCGGGACCAGAACTGAGACCAGAATCAGAACCAGGACCAGAACCGGGACCGGGACCAGCACCAGGACCAGAACCGGGACCAGAACCAGCACCGGTACCAGCAGCGGCTCCGGGTGTGCTCCCAACTCCAGGAGAGCAGCCAGCACCCGCGAACCGGAACCGCTACCGGAACCGGGACCAGAACCTGGACCAGAACCGGGACCGGAACCGGGACCGGAACCGGGACCAGAACCGGCACCAGGACCCACTGGGACTGGGACGAGAACCAAGACCAGGACCAGAACCAGAACCGGGACCAGAACCGGCACCAATATCCGCACCAGGACCCGCACCGGAACCAGGACCAGAACCGGAACCAACCAGAATGGCGGAAACCGGGACCAGGACCAGACCCAGCACCAGGACCCGCATCAGAACCAGGACCAGGACCCGCACTGGAACCGGGACCGGCACCAGGACCCGCACCAGAACTGGCACCGGGACCAGGACCCACCGGGACGGGGGAACCAGAACCAGAACCGGCACCTGGACGCGCACCAGAACCGGAACCAGAACCGGCACCAAGACCCGCACCGGGACCAGAACCTGGACCAGAACCAGCACCAGGACCCACACCAGAACCGGCACCAGCACCGGGACCCACCAGGATGGGGGAACCAGAACCAGAACCAGCACCACAACCGACTGGGATGGGGGGAACCGGGACCAGGACTGGCACTGGGACCGGGATTGACCGGGATGGGGGGAACCTGAACCAGGACCAGAACCGGGACCAGAACCAGTACTGGAACCTCAGTGGAAGCCGACAGGGAAGAGCCGCCCATCCCGCTCCATCCCACGTTATCCCGCTCCATCCCGCATTATCCCGCTCCATCCCGCATTATCCCGCTCCATCCCGCATTATCCCGCTCCATCCCGCATTATCCCGCTCCATCCCGCATTATCCCGCTCCATCCCGCATTATCCCGCTCCATCCCGCATTATCCCGCTCCATCCCGCATTATCCCGCTCCATCCCGCATTATCCCGCTCCATCCCGCATTATCCCGCTCCATCCCGCATTATCCCGCTCCATCCCGCATTATCCCGCTCCATCCCGCATTATCCCGCTCCATCCCGCATTATCCCGCTCCATCCCGCATTATCCCGCTCCATCCCGCATTATCCCGCTCCATCCCGCATTATCCCGCTCCATCCCGCATTATCCCGCTCCATCCCGCATTATCCCGCTCCATCCCGCATTATCCCGCTCCATCCCGCATTATCCCGCTCCATCCCGCATTATCCCGCTCCATCCCGCATTATCCCGCTCCATCCCGCATTATCCCGCTCCATCCCGCATTATCCCGCTCCATCCCGCATTATCCCGCTCCATCCCGCATTATCCCGCTCCATCCCGCATTATCCCGCTCCATCCCGCATTATCCCGCTCCATCCCGCATTATCCCGCTCCATCCCGCATTATCCCGCTCCATCCCACATTATCCCGCTCCATCCCACGTTATCCCGGTCCATCCCACGTTATTCCGGCCCATCCCGTCACTCACTGGAAGCCGACCGGGAAGAGCCGCCCGTCCCGCTCCGATCGCTCCGTCAGGGCCCCCAGGCTGTCGATGCGGGTGGAGCCTGCGGCAGCACCGGGACCCGTCAGCACCCATGGGTGCCCCCAGAGACCCCCCAGCACCCATGGGTGCCCCCAG